AGAGGCAGTTGCTGTGCACAAAAAAGGTAAAAGAACTATTTCTATTCTTGTACATCCCATGGCAATATAATATAATAATAATAATAATATAGTATACTTGTTTGGTCCAAAAGTAGTCAGTCGATAATGTGGGAGGAAGGCCTTCATTGTATTTTATGTATTGATTTATTGTAACAAATTCACTGTATAATATAGTTATTGTGTGTATCCATTTTCCAGCACGTTCGTCACCCAGAAGCTCTGGGGAAGATGGCTGACAGGAGGAGGAGTGGGAGCCGAGTCAGTTGCCCTTCACAGGAGCTCCTGGACCTCAGAGGCTGCGGACAGAGGCTGCGAAGCTGGATTCATCTGATCCAGACTTTCTGGAGCTGGATTCATCTGATCCAGACTTTCTGGAGCTGGATTCATCTGATCCAGACTTTCTGGAGCTCTTCTTCACGGAGGGAGAACTACAAATGGTACACAGCGTGTCGTGTTCCGTTGCACACAGTGTTTCAACCTCTACAACTCAAAGCTGAACTACTGGGAGGACTGAAAAAGCAGATGAACTCACTCATACACACACTCCCGAACACTCACACGAACACACACACGCACTCACTCACTCACGCGCACACAGACACACACGCACTCACTCACGCACACAGACACTCACTCGCACACTGACATTCACACACACACACTCAAATTCACACGCGTCATTCTATTTTATACATCTATAGTTTTATGGATCTTTGTGTTGTTGTTGTTTGACGTTTTGGTTGATGGTATAGAAGAAAGTTAAATTTTCTATCTGTGAATAAATTGCCAACAATTTGCCATCAAAAGTATTATTTCAGAGTCATGTTTTTATAATTTTTGTAATGGAACAAGTGTGAAGATGTTTTGAGTTGTCACTAAAGCAGCAAAAATGCATCTAAAGTCTCTTTTCTGCTTGATATGTTCCTGTTTACATACAGCTCGTTTTCTCTGTTTTCTTGCTCAGACCAGGTGTTGTGGGTGAAAGTATGCTTTGTTCTATGGCGAATAGCTCAAGAACGGTAAGAGGTAGAAACAAACTGTTTTTTTCAGAGTAAAGCAGAGAGGTTAATCTTTAATTTGGTGTTCTTGGTGTTTACATCGTCTAAAAAATGAATATTCTGTGGCACTTCAAAGTTGGGTCAAATCACCTGAAATTGCTGGCAGAACGCACTTCTCAAATCTGAAAATGCCTGGCAGTCAGTGAGTTAAATGAGTACACGTCAGAGCTGTGCCCTTCTATACATACAAGTTATAACTCTGTGACTGACTGCAAGTGGAAGGGACAGAGAGGTTCTTCTCCTGGGGCCACGTGTTTTGTGCAGCACATCTTGAACCTGACAGAAAATCTAATGAAGAGCTCCCAGACAAGATCCCAAAACTCACCTCCACTAAATGTCACAGACTTTAGAGAAATACACAGGAGGCAGGACTTATTGCAACATTCACATGTGGTATTTTTTGGAGAATTACATCACACCATGACAATGTGGATTCAAAATTGCAGCAAAGCTTTTACTGCATATGAATGTTTGGAGAAGGGTCACGCTGACAGCATAAATGACACATCTAGGCCAAATGCAACATAGATAGATACTTTATTGATACCCGTAGAAGAAATGTAGGCCTGACATGAGAATCAGAGTTCAATGAATTATTTGATTACCAATTAATTCCTTCAAATTATTCTTTATCTTTTATAATTTCTTTAAAACAATGTGTGAAAGTGCATTTGTTTCACACAGAGCAGTTTCCACATGGCTCCAAAGCACACTGAGGCCACATTCTGAATTTGCGTCAAGATTAGAATTCACACACAACCTCCTGAAATGTCTCCATGTAACCATGTTTCGTGAAAAGGGAACAGTTTATTCAAATCAAAAGGTAATAAAACATGTCAAATGTATTTCTTATTTTCTATTATCATCATCATTATTATTATTAATAATTTAAAAAAAACTGTATTGTCTTGTGTTTTTCTGTTCTGTTTTGGGGTATTCGAGTACCCCATACACATACTCTCCATTAAAGTTTATAACCAGAATCTGATACAGTACGTTCTGTTCATCACATTCAAATATACACTTCTAGTCTAGAAGCGGCAATGCAAGCAAACAAGGTACTGTACAAAGCAAAGGAAGGTTTCTCACCCATCATCTGTACTTCTTAGCAAGTTTTCCCAACGTTTCGTCCTCAACCTGGGGACTTCTTCCCTGAAGAAGTCCCCAGGTTGAGGACGAAACGTTGGGAAAACTTGCTAAGAAGTACAGATGATGGGTGAGAAACCTTCCTTTGCTTTGACTAATCCCTGTACGACTGAGGGCTTACACAAACTTAAGGTACTGTACAATTTAATTATTCTATATTGTGTATTTCAAATTGTATTGAAAAGATAGGAAATATAAATAATATTAAACATTGAACTAAAAAAAACAAACGACAGAAGATTGTTTCCACGGCTTGGTGCTCACACCACAGATATTATAGGAAGTATACAGGGATGAAAGCTCAGGCATTACAAATGATTTTTGACAGCTTGTGTGGACCAGTTCTCTACTTTTTGGTTAAAAATGCCATGGGTGATTGCTTTTGCATCATCATTGAATAGACTGGATGCAAATGTCACTTAATATGGACTTTATTGATCAGTGCAGAGCAACAGTTAATTTTAGTGCAAGTATCTAAAATAAAATAAATATGCGATGGAGAACATACAATACAGTTTTTATTATAATTTTTATTTATAATAATCCCCATTTTGCTGATCACTACACACACACACACACAGATCAAAATATTTGAAATACCAATCTTTTTTTCTACAATTGAATAGAAGTGTAAATAAAAATTGCTACCTCGCAAAATAGATCCATATCAAATCTAATACAAAAATCTTGTTAATTTTTTTTTTTTAGTTCAATGTTTAATATTATTATTTATATTTCCTGTCTTTTCAATACAATTTGAAATACACAATATAGAATAATTAAATTGTACAGTACCTTGTTTTTTTTTTAATAAGACAGTATACATGTAGTATTCATACTACTACTTTAAATACATCTGAATAAGCTCAAGGCCAGTTTTCATCCATTAACAAAAATCTGTAAAAAAGAATCTTAAATTACTCAATTTGTCAACACAAGACAAATAGAAGACTTTTATGGCTGTTATGCAAATATGTTTTTTCATTATTCATGAATGCCCTTGCATCAGAACATAAAGGCTTTTGTGTTTATGACACGAGTCATAAACACAAAATATTTCGCTGCCAAATTTGGATTACAACTCCAAATGTTAAAAACCAGATCTTGTTTCTTGTAACATGCAGTCTTCTAGATGTGAACCAGCCTTGACAATAAAATAGGTAATATGTTTGAGAAAGGAATGGCTATAATATTAAGAGATGCTTTTCAGAATAGAATATGGCATCCTCCTTGCTTACAGCACATCAACATGCACATAAAGTCTGTTTGGTTCATGGTCTTGTGCTCTTATAGGGTCAGCTCATTAAACCAGTGATGTGCTCGATTTATACAACAGAATACCAATAGGTTTCCTCACTCATCTACAGCTATTCATTCTTTACTGCCCCATAACTTTTCCTCTTGAACAGTAAATTTAAATGTGACGAATAATATAATATGCAGTGATGGAGAAAGGTTTACAGCAAGTAATGTATTAAGTCTGAAGCCTTGACAATATTGAACACAAAGACAGGTCCTCACCACAGCATAGTTGACTGTAATCTCAAAGCATGAGGACATTTCTACTCCATAAACAATACAAAACATTGCCATATAATGTAGTAGATCTATTTTTAAAACGCCATCTAAATCCTGTCAGAAGGAAAATACATGAGTAAAGGCCAAGTCAGAAGCATCCGACTGCCCATTATTGAAAGGTATTTTATGTATAGTCTTTTCATACAGAGCAAATTAACATGCACATTATGAATGTCAGGTCTGGTTACAATAACAAAGAAAGAAACATTGTGAGATAGTCTGATGCAGCTCCTTTTCTCTGCAGGTTTAAAGAACCGTAAAGCGAGAGTTTCTGTGAGCTTTAGTGGGGCCTTAAAAGGATTTATAAATGGCTTGTTCTATTGTGTGGGTCGCCTGCTGCCCTCTAAGACCCAAGGCACCTTGTTGTAATTTGGCCCAGCCGCAGCAAAGCCCAGTCTCCTAAATCATGTCTTAGAGTTCCTCTGGTTCTCCACAACCTGCCACCCAGGTGGCTCTAGCAGCCTTGTGCAGCCAAACAGAATTAAGACCAAATTAAAAGCTCAATGAGCCTAATAATTAAACTTTAATAGACAGCATAAAGTACCCAGCACCTTTTAAATGCTGTTGTCACTACCGAGCTACCACACGGTGCACCCTACTATCTCTTTTATGCAGGGCAGATACATCACTATTAACCCCATTTCCCTTTAGAAAAGACTCAAAGTAGATGGAGCATAAAGTGAAGCCAGTACCACACACAACATGCACTGTATCTGAACTGCAGATGGGAATCCGTACTCACTAACTCTCAGAGGCAATCATCATTTGAAAACAAGACAAAGTTTCAAATCAAAGTTCAGAATTGATTAAAACACATAAACATTCATATCCAGCTTTGGCAGCAGAGCAGATGTAACAAAGTGTTTTCTAATTTGTAGCTCAAACTCAAATATTCAAAATTAAACACTAGCATTCACTGTACTCTCATTACACAGGTTAGACTTCAACCTTAAACTAATACAAATAACGGGACGACAGATTCATCACACAATCAACCAACTAAAAAAGCAGTAAATGGATCAGGTATAGCTTTCCTTCGGCATTTGAGTGTGCGTGGGCTGTGGCTGCCTGCCAAAATTACATAACTCTAGACTAGAGCAAATGTGTGTTCTCGGCATGTTAGTTAACTATTCCAACAAATAAATAAATACATACATACAAAAGTTTTCTGCAGTATATTTGACAAGAAATGTAAATCTACCTCCCTACAAGAGCAAAGACCCTGCATGAGCTGAGCATCACCACAAGGGGGCAACCAAAAACAACTTTTGAATGGTCTTACCAGCATTGACAATGGCGTCCACCTCTAGCAGCGTGATGTCTCCTTTGTAGAGGGACACTTTATCAGACAGCCCTCCTCCACTGGTCACCTGCGTCTCCTCCTCCTCCTCGTTGTCATTGACTGCAACCACACATGTTTAGTTATTAAGCATTCAACACAGAATTCATGTTTTTTTGGTGGTGGACAAGTGAATGAGGACACCAATTGGCTTAATGTAAAGTTTGTATGTTTGTTTAAGACGGTTTTTACTTTTTACATGAACGTTGTCGATATGTGCCTGATCAAAATGGTGAGCCGTCATAGGCTATTGCAATCTTGACCAGACTAGAACAGAATTAATAATTTAATTTAAGAATAAAAAGAATGCTCAAAAGTTTGCATGTTTCACCACCTCTATGTCTATAACAGCAAAATTAATTCAGCTTCCTAAACAGCATCTCCTTGAATCATTTATCCGCTTAGGGCTGTAATAAAATGTTGATCGTACTGCTGTTTTCCTCCCTCCAGGTCGGGATCTTGTCCAAAGAGACGAAGTCCTGGCGTCGATACTCCTTGCGTCTTTCCTCCCGATCTAGACGAAGCAGTCTCTCTGTGGAAGATAAAGACATTTATGGTGAAGAATTCCATGCACTATTGAGTGATTCACTTAAGTCGCATAAATAACTTTTGTAGTCACAGCTGCCCTGAGGTAGTGACAGCAAAGTCACTGCCAATATGTGATTATTATCAGCAGTCATTTACGACAAAACATCCTCTTGAGCCTTGAGATTTCTCGCCACAAGAATCACGGCTCAAGACATTTCAGTAGTTTAATTTTACTCTGACTTCTGATGGGCAGTGAGACATTGAGAGTGTTGCAAACAGCACTGGAGTGGACGGCTTAAAGGCTACATGCTGCAAAAATAATAATTTCCTCTAATCGCTGATATTGCCTCAACTTCTGAGTTGAATTATGTGATTTGTGTTCACAAGAATATGCATCTAATATTTGCTCAGTTGTTAATTTTGGAAGAACATTTTTGTTTTTGATTAACTGCTTTTAAAGGATAGTCCAATTCTAACATGAATAATCCCTCTAATATTGTGTCCCTTGCATTGAACATGATTGTACTTGTAATATATCATATTCACAAATGTAAATGGAGGAAATACAAAGCTTCTGTGATTTGCTTTTAAAATAAAATGTAGATAAATCTCTCAGCTTTCAGCGTCATGAGCTAAAACATTCACCATATAGCACTTTAACTGAGCAGTTTCCTCTAGCGATGCTGTTTGATAGACTTAGAGCAAGTCTTATAAACCTGAATGCCTTCATGGTGTAGTACTTTTTGTTAGGTTTTTTTTTTTAAATATACATCTGTTTCGTTTCATCCCTCAACATGATTTTTCAATGTATAATTAGTACAATATATTGTGTCATAATTTCTATTCAGTTCACTCTGTCAGTTCCTAGAATTACTCTTACCCAACTAACTGAAGACGTCTACAAGTCAGATGTATCAATAAATAGAAACAAAAAAGTTGTGATAAAAACAAAAAAACAAAACTGAAACTATGAGCATTTGCACTGCGCATGCTCTTGTTGAACCGCATACCCAATTGGAAAACACCTGCAAATGTGTACACGCAGTAATGCAAATATACAGTATGACCAATGAAACTGAACGTAGCTGACTTAATTTTCTACTTTTATCACGCTAGTTGGTTCGTTTCCTGAAGTTCTGTTTGGTTTAGAATTAGTCCCTCGTGAGTGGAAACCTTCCAAAGCACGTGGTGGCTCAAAGTTACAATTTACAATAATGGCACCTATTATTTACATAAGCGAAACTAAACATGAGGACAGACTGTGCTCCCTTAACACAACACAAAGCAGATGTAACATGCAATCTTGTAGCCTAAGCTATGTCACCAAACTGTTTACTGTTTGTCAGGTAGGCTTATCAATGAAAGGGCAATGGCAGTCCCATCACACAGGTGAAGGATTAGATTAGATGCATAAATCCGTTGCCTGCCCGAATAATTCAGAATCAAGGATGGGTGTGAGGCGTTTTAGATAAGAGCTAACCATGTAAAATGAAACGTGGATATGCCTATTGTTGTCCTGAGCTTCAAACATACACAATGATAGCCAAACACCACGCAACATCCCCATAACATCTGCCCAGCAGTCGTGAGGGATGGAGAATTAATTATTGACAATAGAAAGGACACGGGAGCGCGCTGTCAATCTCCTGCTATGGTCGAAAATCACGCTGTCTGCCATAGAGAAGATGATGGCTTGATTCTACCCAAAAGAAGCCTTACCTTTCTCATTCTTCCAGTCCTTTTTCTTTTTGCTCATGCTTCCGGAATGATAAGACTTTGAATGGTTGTTTTTTGAGTGTGACAACCCCAGGCTCACAGCAAATAGTGGTCCGGAGGGAAAGTGAAAAGCAAAGTGAAACAGCCTCTGGACGCTTGTCTCACCTGTGAAGCTGTCAAATTTCTATGGACCTCAGTGAGCTCAACCTAGCCTGTTGGCACCGTAAATTATGTGTACGGAATACAAGTATGTTATTGGCTGTATGGAAGCAGGAAGTGGATGTATGATTGGACAAACCTTGTTGTCACTCAGAGAGTACGCCGCGCGCTGGCGTAGCAAGAGGCAGTGCGCGCGCCGGGGAAATGCCAAGTGGAGCTGAGACAACCGCATCTTTTGATCAAATAAAATACAATTAAAAAAAATACTTGTAACTACTATAACTGACGAATAACTATATTTCAAAGTGCACACATTTAGCTTCAGCAATGACACATTGTCTACCACATCATCAAACAGAAACTCAAGAACACAAAAAATACAAATCTAAAAAATTTCAAAGGTAATTTGAAAAACAAATAATTCAATAATATAAATATTTTAAAATCAGTCAAAATTTCCAATATCCCTTTCATTTAAAAGAAGCGCACAGATTAATCAATTGTTTATTGGTGTTGCTGTATTTTGTAGGATAGAGGAGATCAGTTCCAAACCCAACTGCTCCAAAACCTCTAATATTACTTCTCAAAGGACAGGTTTTTTATTTTTCATCCAAACCAGACTTATTTTTCAATACTGTCCAATTATTACATTATTTAAACATTTGTAGAGTTTTGCATCACAATGACGTAAAACTCAGTGAAATTATTTTGGTTTGTCTTGTTACCCCCACACCCACAGAAATATAAAAGTAATTTCTTTATGTTTGTTGTTTCTTTATGTATTGACTAATTACATTGCAGTTAAATACAGTCGATTATTTTGTCAAACAGAGGTGTTACCCGGTAAGTGTTTTGCAAGTAAGTTCTTTGAACTTGATGTTTTGTTATGTTTTGTTTTTGTTTCACAGATAATGAATTATATTTGTGCATTTCATATGGACCATGTAACAAGACCATGTTCAGGACAAGTCAAGAACCAGTGTTCTTCTAGTCCAAGTCGAGTCCTGAGTAGGCCTGGATTGATCAAGGCTGCCTAGTCACGACTTTCTAGGCCACTTCTGCTGTCAAAACAATTATCTTATGCCTTATTAATATCTCATATGTGTCATGTGTGTATGATTTACACACTTTGTAAAACCAAACCTTTTTGAAATATCAAAGTGAGTCACTTTTTAAGATAACCTTTACAAAGGTGCCACTAGATGTCAGCCTTGTATAATATTATTTGCAATCACTGAACACAGAGCTCAACACTTTATAGGACATTGTACAGCTATCTAATTTTACATACAGTATATTTCCTGATTATCCATATCCTGTATCCATAGTTTTTTGATCCATTGTTATAATAGCTCTACATCAATCATGTTTTTGTGCTGATTAAGTTCAGGCTGCAATAGATTTGGAAGATGACAATCACATGGCTACTGCAGGACTTACTTAAGGTCTTAGGCTTTGAGGTTTTTGTGGTCAGTGATTATCATGAAAAGTGTATCAGTTGAAAAAAGAACATGAACAAACATTGAAGGAAGGAACATTGTGTGTTGAAACATATGAACATAATCCTTCACAGAAAAAAGTATTTGGTGTGATTTCACCTCCAGGGCCTTTCTGTGTGGAGTTTGCATGTTCTTCCCGTGTCTGCATTGGTTTTCTCCAGGTGCTCTGGTTTACCCCTAAAAGCACATATCATAGTTCAGGGTGAATGGGTGTGTGTTTGGGAGTGTGACTGTGGGATGTAATTTAGCCCAAGGCCACTGTACAGAAAGGTGTGTTCATTAACACACACTGTTCTAACCAAATAATTATAAAAACATTAAAAAATTGCATATTTTCACAGTACCACAGCTATTCAACAATCCACTCTCCACATTAGAATCAGACGTATAATCCAAGTCACAGATTTGGGTTTATTTCTGGGTTTCAAGATAATGATTCCATTCTGATTTGAAGGAATTTGTGAGGACAAGAAGAAGACCTAGGCTGCGGACTTCATATTGTAGACCTGACAAAAAAACCAAAGGAAAAAAAATCAACAAATAATTGTACATATTTTCTATTCACTAACTTTCGATATGATAAAATGCACAATTGTAGTTCTCATGAAAGTATTAAAAAGTTAAGATAAGATTATTAAGAACTTTATTGATCTCACAATGGAGAAGTTCCCATCCAACTTCTGAAATGTAAATCAAGAAGAACCCCATATACTTTATACTTCAGTTGTCACAATAGGCCTCCAGCCCCACCTGCTCCTCCACACAGTCCTTATCCAAACTTTGCCTCTTGTTCTTCTCTCCAATCAAAATGGCTCCCACAACCGTTATCAGCACAGTTCCCGTTAAAATCAGCACTGTTACTGTTTCTGCAATGCAAAGTTCATCTGCTACTTCTACTATCAGGCTCCCCTTGAGTTCCTCTGGATCACGGCATCTTAGTTTCTGGTAATCATCCAAAAACAAGCGGTGAATATCATCCAATTTCCGGAAAACTCTTTGCAAGTCGCAATCACAATGCCATGGGTTTCCCACCAGCAGAACATGGGCATTAGATGCACACATGCTAAGCAGAGTCTTGAATTGCAAAGCAGAAAGTTCATTATATGACAAATCTAACAAGACAATATTGCAAAGTGATGCAAAAACTCCTGGTTGGATTTCAGCAATGTTGTTCTGACTTAGCTGCAGCATTTCAAGGGAACGAAGGGTAGAAAAAGTGGCTAATTCCAAGTTTGTGATCCAATTATCATTCAAATATAAGTGTCTCAAAGTTGTCATTCCGCTTAAAGCTTGCGGTTTGATTTCTCGGATATGGTTAGAACGTAAATCCAGCTTGACAAGACTGTCTAAGTTGTCAAAAATGTTGCTTTCCAAGATTGTTAAATTGTTATGAGCCAGGGACAGCTCGATTAGAGAGTTTAACCCAAGCGAAAACCCAAGTCCCAAATGGGAAATCAAATTGTTGCTCATGTCTATCTTTTGCAAACTCTGTAGATTCAAAAATGCACCATCGGATACGTAGGAGACCACATTATCTTGAAATAGTAATATTTTTAGGCTGAGGAGGTTTCCAAAAGAGTGGTGGCGTATTTGAAAGATGTTATTGTGGGATAGGTCCAAGTATTCAGTGCTGAAGGGAAAGTTTGGGAGAGTTTCTGTGATGTTTTGGGATGAACAGTTGACATATTTGATTTCTGGAACCCAGGTGCAGCCGCTTAAGCAGGGGTTTTGTGCTGACACAGGCAGTAGAAAGTGTGAGATGACAAATGTGGTAAACATGAGGTAGGCCATGATCTAAAGAAGAGAAAATGAAGAATGGGTCATCAACATCAGTGGTTTTTACTGGTAGATATAGTAATTTAGTTGTTGCTCTTTACATGAAATATTCCCTTTTGAAACACCTTACCAGCTGCTGTTTGTCAGGCCTAGTGAACATGCATTTAGGTAATTGAATACACGCAGTCTGATGCATTGCCGTATGATCATCTGACCATTATGATCAAATATGCCAAACTATATCAAGATATTGATTTTGAAAAATATTGCCCACCCCAATTTGTATATATATTTCATATTTTTGAAGCCCCTCACTCACCTGTTGATCCGCTGTTTCTTACCCTTCACTGAGTTCACACAAACGGAGCAGACCAGGTGCAGTAGCGGACCATGCCTGATGCCTCTGTCTGTGGGCGCGTGTTGACAGCACAGAGAGGCTCAGACAAAGAGGGAGTGAATAATTTAGGCGCATGGGCCCGGGACAGTGAGCATGGACGGGCCCTGGTTCAGACTGGCACAGTACACAGAGGGTATAATGTAACATGAGTGTCAAAAGGAACAATATAAAGACATCTCAGTTAATGACCACTTTAAGTTCAGTTGAGCTGGGAAAATGGGCACTGATTGTCATGTAATTGTATGGTATAGACTAATTAGAGATGAGTAAAGGGAGAGGCTTTTTACTATAACAATAAAATTACTGTATGAAGAGGTGGGGCTTTTAAGTTCTGAAATATGCCATTTTAGATTAATATTGGGTCCTGAACCAGGAAGTATATACTGAGCACTTCTGCGCTCAGGTCTTACATTGGATTCACAAAGAATCATCTGTGCCATAAGATTGAATCACCGGAGGTGCACAGGGACTAGCTTCCTGCTGGAGTCATGTGTTTCAAAAATAATTGGGCACTCTTCCTGAAAATGGAAGATAGCCCTTGACTTTGACAATGTTAAAATCCAGTTTATTTGTGTATAAAACTGAGCATTTATGTATTTTTTGTATGTTTGTTTTCTTATTTTATGAAGCTACTTTGTAAGTGAGTTGTGCTGTACAAACAAATCTGCCTTTCTTAATGCTGCATATAGTAAACAAATTATCTTACTATACTACCTAGTGTCTTGTTAATTGATGGTAATGCTATTAAGAACATCTACAATATAAATACTAACACAAATATTATTTCTCTTAAGTTCATGTATAATGTTTTATGCGTTTAACACACTTTATTGTCCCGTAGGAAATTGGCCCTCCACTTTTGAACCATCACTTGGGCCCCCGTGGATCTACTACAGACATACACCATTGTACTGGCCCTGCTATGGTGCATTTTTTTTAGGTAGTGGTGGAAACCGGACTGGCCCGGAGGGGACCCACCCAGACACGCAAAGAAACAGCTCACAGCTCTGCACAGAAAGTTCCAGGCAGACACGAGATCGAACCTGCATGAACCTCATATGAACCCTCGATGTATCTGTGCCTCTTTAACTCCAGTGTGAATGTGATAGTGTGGAGTGGGTTACATAAGCTTGACTTCATTTCAGTCCAGCTCTGATGAATGCTTTTTGTTCTCCACGTTTTGGAAAAAATCCTTCTATGTAAAGATTT